AAATCATRAACAGAAAAACCAATATATTAATATGTATTCATCTTTGTTAACAGAAAACTAATGACTATAATTTGTGTAAAAATCGGAAGTATATTCAAAACCATGAGCGTTATGCTGCAACTTGAGATTACCCCTACCCCTCCCACCTCAAAATCAGATATTCAAATTTTCCTTTTTGACCACTCAAACCCCCTCCCCCCTCACCCCATCATTTTGATGGGTCCTGAATCGCGTTAATAGTTAATGAACACTCCCATAATGCTATTCACCTGACGATTCAGAAATCCTATCTCCCTCGTGTGACAGCACGGACGATACCCAAGCATCAACGTCAAACGGCTGCAGTCTCCCAGTACAGCGGCTACCCCGCATGGACGTGGTTTGCAATTGGATAAACGATGATGGACAGGAAGATGCCGCCGTTGATTGGCTTGCCTGGGTACTAGTGCTCCAGCCACTGGCCGACGATGGGGACGGGGATACAGTACTCGATACATCGGTGGCAGATTTCGAAAGAAATACAAGTTTGGTGAAGCGGGCGTTGTTTGTGAATGTGCTAGAGCTTGTTGTTGTGCTGTAAGAGTTTCTGATATACTGTGGACAGTCTAGTGAATCAAAGGATCTTGTAAGGCGTTGCCGTGAAAGCGTTCGATGCCGTNCTTTCCTCACCTCCCTGATCTGCTTCGTTGTCGTGCACAATGCAATAAAACACTGTGTTTGCAAACGAATGCCAAATTCGGGCTATTCGTGAACCTTGTGGACGAGGTTTCTGTCGCCGCCTTTGCCTTATTCTTCTAAAGAAATTCATTATGCTGAAATGGCAATGGTATCCCATATGAAAATCAAGAAATTAAGATTTTAATAATTCCCGCTTCAAAAATCAAATGCACCACGTAAACATGTATACGTAAAAAAACAGGGGAGAAACTTTTCTCGAATAGAAAACTTATCAGTTAATTTAGCCCTCTGGCTCTATTTTTTACAACAAATTTAAATGTTTTTATACTTATCTATCCTTTTTCATTACTTGGCAGCTAAATAGCAATTATGAGCAATAAAGCAGTTTCAGCGAATATATAAACACCTTGCATATGACGCAAAGCAGCTTTATCTGAGAGACAAATTAAAGATAGAACGTTTTCTTGACTTTTTGGATATTAAAATCCAATCTTCTGTTCTCGGGATTGAACGTGCTGAACTACTATACATTCCCGTTAACTTCAAGTGCGGTTTCATTCCACAAATCATGACTCGTAGCGCGCGCATTTATGACAAAGTTTTCTTTCTCTTTGTACTTACCAACATTCTAAAAATGGAACTATCTGTACGACTAAATGCCATGCTAGAATGATAAACGAAAGCATATTAACCGCAGTGCCATTTTTTTTTCGATATAGCTTCTACATTTTTGACAAGCTGTTAGAATYTTATCGTGTAATTAGAATAGATGACGTCATAGTCAGACTAAAATTAACCAATCGCATCTATWCTTTATAGATTACTTTGATCTGATWGGTCAATARCGTACAATCTATTTCGCAAACCAGGCAATCTTTAGATTATTGAGTCATTCGATTAGGTACTTGGACATCACCTAGAGTATTGATTTGATATAAAGTATGCGCGCAAATTAGAGTTTCCCATATTCCCATATTTCAAAAAGAAATGCTCCCACACTCTCCACTCTTTCTTTCTTTCTCCTCATACTGGCTTCTTTTCGACGACAGTCCTAATAAACGCATCACAAATTATGCGATTTCTGAAATATCCGGAAACATATGAATGACTGTGTCTTTAATTTTCTATTACGGCCTCGTCTCCAGGCTAGATTCTGAAAGCCTTTCTCCGGTTTAAAAGATGTTTGAGCTATCTTGCATGCCATGCAATGTCCTGGTTAGGAGAATAGCGTTGGAATGGTGGTGTTCGAAATCCTTTTCAACGGCATTCGTAACTTCTGTGTGTTGAGATACCCGAGGGGTTCCAGTAATATGAAACGTTATATAAACGATCATATAATTTTTCAGTCAGTTGCCTGTCAGTTGAAAAAAAATAATCTAGGACTTCTGTGCAGGCTGATAAAAAAATTGTTGCTAACAGTAATTTTGTACAAATGTATGCATTTAATCATATTTATTGGGTCAAAACAAGACCAACAAACACAGTATTTTTACAGTCAATTTAAGACTGGTTTGCACGACCACAATTCTTATTATGGTAAAACAATATTCTCATGTGACAATTGCATTTTTGCCAATGCACTCTTCAAAACACTCTTGTGAACAACCTTGCAGTCATTGCTGTGTTAATGGTCTATTACAAGAGTGATTTAAACTCAAGTAGCTGGCTTATTTGACAAGACAGTACAACTTCCATCATACAAGCCATCACAAACTACAAAAATCCTGCATCATATTATATCTCAAATTGTAGATTAAAAGAAAATTCACTAAATGACCATTATATCAGAGAGGAAAAATTGTTTTATGCATTATAACAAGTTGCAGAGTAAATGTGGATTTTTTGGATACTAGAAAAAAAAACCATCATAGCATTGTTTTCTGTTTTTATATATATCTTATTATAAGAAAATTGATATTTTATGATCTTACATTTTTTTGCTTACTTGAAGTTCAAAAAACACTAAAATATGGTGTTATCGCAAAATCTACCTGCAACTTGTTAATGCCAAAATCACATTATAGTACAGTTTTCAAAAGTTAATAATCAAGTTCATTTTGTGGCTTCTTTTTTCCATGGTTCTGTGTGTTTGTAAGGAACAGTTGTCTCCGGCTGCCGCTGCCGCTTTCCTGACCCATCTATTTCCATTTCAATGTCATAAAATGAGTGTTCATCGTATGAGAAGTACTCCTCTACTTTGTATGTACTGTTATCAAATGGCTCTGGTTCTTTCTTTGGTGCTGAAACTTAAAAACATGATAATTTTATTATAAGATATAATTATGAAAAGAATGAATTTCTGTGGATTGTTGTGAGGGGGGAGGGCTGAGGAAGGTTTTTAGCTGGATGGTGTGTGTGCTAGGGGTTTTTGTTATCACTCGAACAGGGTATAATTTTGTTGACAAAGTGAACCAACATAATTCTACAATGACAATATTGCCTTATTTCAAACCTTTGGGACTCCATATCTAACTCACTATTTTTATATTCAATTAATACCAAACATCAATC